CTTTTTCTGACGAGGTATATATAATTTGAAAAAGAAAAGATGGCCAACATATCGTTTTTTTAAACAAAAAAGTCCAGGAACTCTATTTAATCAGTTGATATCTTTATGCTGCAACCACGTACAAGAAGAAACAGAAACCTCTCCAATTTCACTTTGCTTAAATCTAACGGCGTTTCGCAACCACTTGCTTCAAGACGATCGGCCGCTGACACACACAGATGATTTGTTGCGCTTATTCCACTGGTTACGTTTTCCGAAACTACCGATGCTGCGGCGAGCGCACCGCAGTCAGTATTTCCCAGCACCGCTGATCCGCTCAGAAGTTGCCCATACGGGGACGCTGCTGCTGCTAAACAGTATTTCTTAATTACAGCATTTTGAAAATAACTGTTTCTGGGCAACGCCCAAATTCGGGCGTAACAATGAGCAAACTTGACCCTAGTTACTAGCTCTGTATCACATAAGTATGGGAAAGTTAGTAGTGCGACAGAATTCAGCTCTAAATGCCGGGCAGCATCAGTTACTGACCTAGAACTTCTTATTTTTATTTATCACAGCTGGAGAGATCCTGGCTGCTAAGACTAGGAGATTTCAAGACCTTAATCTAAACAGCAACTAAGTCGTTGAACAAATTCAAATTAAACCATGCAAGGCACTTTTCACTCTAAATAAGTGATCGTGAAAGGCAATTTAAGTAAAACATTTGAGCAAGGCTGAAAAATCAAAGAAAATTGCACCGATAGATACGACTGTGGGAAAAGGCACAACTTGAACAGTAAGTTGGCAAGACTATCGAAAGCGAATAGACAGCTTATCGATAATACTTGCTTCCGCAAAAAGGCAGAGCGGCTCTCAAGTTTGATTGAGCTTAATCAAATCAATTTTACATAATAGCCGACATACAGCATTAACACTTTCAGCACTAGAAGCAAAAAGCAAAATACACATTATACCGGTTATAAAATGGGAGTTCGGTAGGTGAAGTCAGGATACAATGCCCAGAGATACCGACGAAGACAAGCAGGTAAAACAAATTCAGGCTGGCCAAAATCGTTTAGAATTATTAGTGCCCTGTATTCCATTTCGTAAAACCAGCTAAATAGTCCTAATCTTGACGGTCATAATCTCAAAGCAGCTACAAAAGTGCTGCTCGAAAAAGGTTAAAAAATAAAAAACAAATAAAACCCGAAACATTAACCACAAACACTCTCTTCTCTACAGATGGATTACAAAGAAGCTGAAGGAAGGCCTCAAAGACAGCAGCTGCTGCAGAATGGTAAACGGTGAATTAAAGAAAGGCGCAGAGAAATGCGGAAGGCAAATGCTGCAGTACCACTGCACATTAATTGCGCATAAGAGTGGATGGCCGAACAAACATGAAAACCCAGGTTGGAACGCACCGGGCGGGCCGTGTGATCATGCGTTTTGCATCGAACTTTAATTACTCAGTTCATTAACTGTATGAATGGCTGCTGCATTACACCTACCTTTTGCCGTCACTAGCATAAATCACCATAAATTTTGCAAAGTAATGTATAATTCCCATTTAACAGTCGTTCTT